TATATATATATACCACAAAAAGGGCAGGTTAGGGTTTCTTTCTTTGAAGTGTGGCCACCCAAGGCTATAAGTGCCTTTAAATAGGCTCCAAACCCGAGAATTTAGGGTTTCTCATTCTAGTGCCTACTCGGGGAGTCTACCCTCGGACTCGTCGATTAGTTCATTAAACTCACGTGTCAAACCCGCTTTTACTCGACGAGTCATAGCGCCAACTCGTCGAGTAGATCAATGGTTCTAATAAATAATTAATGAAAATAGTACTTCGTAATCTGGATGTTATACTTTTCAAAACGACTTGTATTTTCAGGGACTCAGTGAACATGTATTTGGGCAATGGATTTTGGATAATTGTTGCATTTTGAAATTTCATACATTATGTCATTTTTGTGTAAATTCATGAACATATACATCATGTAAACAATGTAAGTGTGTTATCTCAATGTATGATGTTTGGTTGCTATGTTTCATTCATATTCAATTGTTGTGGTATTATACAATGACGTCATCCACCCTCAGACGTTTCCGCCGTCCTGGTTCGGGGGTGTGACAAGAAGCTCCTGTGTGTTGTGCCTAACGCCACACGCGCACAAACTTTTTAGATTTTCAAAAACTTAATATATTCCTCATACAAGCTTCGTTTTCGATGGTCTTTATATCCACACGTAGCTATCGACGAATACTACAATTTTCATTTAGACTACTTAAGCTAATAGGCAACCAATCTCCGATTCACTATTTACAACACACGTGTCATATCGGTTTGAACACGAAACTTCAAAGAATCATAACTTCTTCATACGAAGTTAGATTTTAACGTTCTTTATACAGAATCACCATCACGATTACTTGAAATTTTATTTAGATTATTTATCCTAGATAATATTTTATTTTTGACGCTTATTTTAGCTCTAATAATTATGTTATTTTATAAACTTATATATATATATATATATATATATATATATATATATATATTCACACATACACACAAAATTCGCATATACTTAAATGATTATTTTTTATTCATTCATAAAATTGTTATAATAGTTGACCGACGTTAATTACATATTTTATTAATGCCTAGTAAGAAAAGCAGGTGCTACAACATTGTATTAGGGTGATCGAGACTGCAAATGATCCAACCCTAGAGGCTTAAGTGTGTTTAAATAGCCCCAAAACCCTACAAAATCGACTAGCCCACTAGGCCGGAAGCGCGTCATCCTTTTTAAGAGGAGTTCTGTGCTTCTTGCGAATAATTCCAAATTTTTAGATTTTTAGCAAATGCGATAAATGGCTTCCTGCTTCGCCCCATCCTTCTACTTTCTTATGGACTATAAAGCCCTCAATTTAAGAGTGGAAAAACACCATCATAAATAGGATGTTACAAAGACAAAGATCTGTTGGTAACTCATGGTGCACCCATGATCCGACCAATTCTTGAGTTCTTCTGACCACAAAGGACTCTGACGGATCCATGAGAAACACAATGAGAAACCTTCCTAGCCACAAACACTTCAATGGACCCGACCCAAAACCTCGCATACTCGAACCACATATTCTTTTGACTCATTGTACTAAAATCACAAAAATCGAACATACCGATGACCCTCCAATTAGAACACAGTTCCTCCACCTAGGGTTTGTACCACCACCAACTGACGTCTACACATAATTAGTTAACTTATTAAGCATTTATTAGATAAAAATGTTTATTAGCTTATATGATGACCAAATTGAGTTTTTTTTAAAAAATGTTTAAAATTGCTTATATGGTGTCCAAAAAGCTATAAGCTAACAAAATTTTTTAAAGTATTTGAATTAACTTATATGGTGTAAAACACTATAAGTTAATAAGTTTTTATTTAAAAAATGTTTGGTTTAACTTTTATGATGACAAAATGCTATAAATTAGTAAAGCTCTAAAAGTGTTTAAATTAGTTATATATATATATATATATATATATATATATATATATATATATATATATATATATATATATATATATGATATGCCAAATTCGACATGTCTACATATTTAAAGGATAAATATTACTATAGCCCAACAAACTAACATGTTTTGGTTTAAAAGGTCACTTATGTTATTATTATTATTATTATTATTATTTTTTGCATTTTAAGGGTATGAATTCATATTTTTAGGGTTTAAAAGCTCCTTTTGAGAAAAGTTAAGGGGTCACCCAGTGAACCCCTTCTTAATCGGTAGGTTTAATTTTGCCATGTCACTTAATAAGATGCCAATTCATCAATCTTATTAACTACGATGACATGCTCCTTTTGAGAAGGGGTCACCCGTGACTGCCTCTACCATTCCCTTCACCCTCTTTCCAAAACTGCCACCATTCCACCAATGATCTTACACCATTATCGTCCACCTATCTGAAAAATGATTCTAGATGACTTCCAAGCAAGATTATCAAGGAACAAAAACAAAAACAAAAACAGGTGAAAGTGAGAATCCGACCATGAAAGCCTTGCTTACAATTACACATGGTGAAATCCTTACGAGATATATGATTCCTTCACCATTTCTTGATTCATTCACCGAATAAGATGTTTTTTTGGTCTTTTGTGGGTATTGTTAGTCCTTATAATGAGTTCGCTCATAATTCAATTAATCAAGGACTTCAACAGGGTCGAAATACCAATAGCACCTAAAAGAACGCAAAAATGGCAAGCACGGTAAGGCAAGAAAAAAAATAACAGGTTCATCACCTCTCTAATTCCATGGCCCTATACATGCTCATATTGTTCTTATTGCCCCTGCTATATACGTAAAGTCGTTAAAGTTTATTTGATTGGATATTATTCGGTTTCAAATGGTCCTAAACCTGCACCCAGTTTCAAGTTTATTTGATTGTGCCTATTTGGTACTTCAAAACATGCTAACAGGGGAAGAAGATGAGTTACACACCAACTGTTCGATGAAATGCTTGACAAAGAAAAAAAAACTTTTTTCAATGCTTATATGACAATTTCAACCACCCTTGACAACAAAAATTGATGAGGCTTCTACATAGTTTCTTATATAATAATTCTTAATTTGTTTTGTTTTTGCAAAAAAAACATCATTTTGAACTTGAAAAGTGTTTAAACTGCGTAGAAAATCATACTTTCAGTTTTGCAAATTTGTCTCTTCAATTGTTCGTCAAAACATATAGTATGGAACTCTTTTGCAACTGGTTAGTTTTGGGTTATTGGATCTAGATCTAGAGAATTTTGAGATTAGGAAAGATGATATAAAATCATGGAGTTCACCCTTCTAGATATAGTAGAATTTGAGTTATTTTGCATATTATTAAATTGTATGTTTTAATTATGTTGATATATGCTAATATCAAAAGTTGGATTATGGATTGATATGGATATTTCGGTTGAGAGGCATTCGTGGTAGATACAGTTAGGTTGAGAAGATAATTTGGCCAATGTAAATTTGAAGATCTGATTATAGATGTATGTGAGTATTTTAGAAGGGTTTGAGTTTTCCCTTTTAAAATTCCTAAAAATCAATGTGAGGGTTAATTCTTCAATCATGGAGTTCTTAAATTCATGGAGTTCTTAAAATCCATGTCATCAGGGGTTTTGGGGTTTTGAGTTTACAAATCGTATTTGACATTAGAAATTTATTATAACAAATCAGGTGCCAAAATTAAAAGGTAAAAGTAGAGTTTATATATTTATAACACAAAAAAATAACATAAGAAACCTTTTAAACTAAAACATGCTACTTTGTTGGGTTTCAATGACATTTTTCTATATTTAAACTAATTAGTATTTTCACATATAATATTTTATATAATAATATTAAATTATAAATAAGCTATAAAGGTTAGATTTTAGTGCAGGTATTATAGTATATTTATATTTATAAATAAATGAACCCTAAAAAACAACTTTTTAAAATGATAAAAATTCATTTTAAAAGTGTTTATCAGCTTTATAAATACTTTTTTTAAGTCGATTTGTTTTTTTAAAAAACTAACAACTCAATAACCAATTATCAGACTTAATCCAAAATAACTAAGTATATCGATTTGTTTATGTGGAGATTGTCATCTAAAAGTAATGAGAAAGGGCAGAGCTCCCGTTTCCTCCGCTTTCAAAATTTATAGCAATGAAAATACTGCCTAATCGAAACAGAACAAACCCCACCCCAAAACTTATTCGAAAATTCGTTTCTTCTGCATTCAAAATCAGTCAAAAATTTCACATCATATCAAGACATTGAAGACCATTAGTAAGTGTATCTACCCAGTACCCACCCAATCGCCTCAAAACCCTTTTGCATTTCTTCTTTTAGGATCTCCTGCTCTTCACCCACTTCTCTTTCTAACTGCATCGCTTTCTCTCCCGATTTGGATTCACCCCTGTCAGGGGAAACAAATTCAGGTTATTAATTACAAACCCTTTTGTCGACCTTTCGCCAGATTATCTATTTGATCTGCTAATTTCTTAAATGAATTGTAATTCTCGGATCAATTGATTCTCTATTTCTAGGTCTAATTTTGACCATTCTGCATGTGTACAGTCTAACCCTTGTGACATCCCGTTGAATTGAGTACTTCAAGTCTGAACATTGTATGCATATTCTGTTGCTCTATGAATCAGATAGTTATAGTTTGTTTTCAAGCTTTACTTTTATATCGGTATCCAAGTATTCTTCATACCTTAGACACCGCACTTATCGTACATCTGCTTCCAAATCGAAGACCTAGATGTTTGGATAGGTCTTTATCATCGATGCAAATATATTTTTTTAATATTCAAGTTGTGATTTTTACACTTGTAACACTGAAGTATATTACAGTTTTCAATAATCTCTAAATTGATCCCGATTTCTTATGCTTCCTAGGTTCAAATTGACGAACCATTTTCTATGAAGTTATTTCTGCCAAGTTTTTAGCTTCTGATGAACACGTGAAGGTCGATGATGGATATCAGATTGCCATATTGAAAGAGTAGATTCATCTTGTTAGCTGGCAATGAGCAGGTCACCTTCATTTACAGCCAGGACAGAATCCAATGCATACGTGGATCCAGAATCCGTACAAAAATGGATTGTTGCATTTTGCATAATTAGATTCGATCTTGAACAAGGTCAACTCATTGAAGAATGTTATCCACCTGGTTGTCTTACCCCTGAAGAAGAACTCGACATTGCTTTCAGTTCATTCCCTGATTCAGTATCCCAACACCATAACCGATCAAGCATCCATGATTCCATGTTCTTCTTCAGAACACAAAGGCGAGGGAATCTTCCAGGTGAAAAGACACATAAAAAACCGAATGAATCTCGATCCAAATACTTATACGGTTTTGTATTCAATAGACAAAGACACGATGAGAGACTGAAACGAGGTGGGGAACAGAAATCAGTAGTGATTCTTTCACGCAGTCCATATTCCAGTTTATTTAAACCTTTATTACAAATCATGGGTCCTTTGTATTTTGATGTTGGAAGGAAAGCCATTGATTATATTGCTGGTTCTATGTCAACATGGTCTTCACCTTTACCCGGTCAACTCATGGAGCTTCCTATAGGAAACGCAACACTTAAAGTCAACCTGCCACCTGTCCATAGCTTGTCATTTGATGGTGAGGTGGCATTTGAAGAGTCTGCTTCCTCCATGGCCCCACTTCTTCCTACAAATCAATCAATCCCACATGGCCTCTTTCATGATTCAGATGTTTTCGGGATTTTTCGAGGGCTTTTACTACAACTTTGGTTGTTATGGGAATTGTTATTAATTGGTGAGCCTATATTGATTATAGCACCAACACCCCCACAGTGTTGTGAAGCTGTTGCTAGTTTAATAAGTCTAGCTGCCCCACTTTTCATCAGTGTTGACTTTCGCCCGTATTTCACTATCCACGACCCGTATTTTGCCCGTTTGAATTCCCTCCAAGAAGGCGAAACTTTCCCTCCAATTCTTTTAGGGGTGACGAATCTTTTCTTCTTGAAATCTCTTCGTAATGTACCCCACATAGTCTCTGTTGGAAGCCCGGCTCCGAATTCGGGCAGGGTCGGGTTTTCTTCACGGGCATCCACGGGCAGGCTTTCGGGCAGGCCGGAAGGGTTTAACTTTCCAAATCTGAAGAAGTTTTCTCCTTCAAATTTGTTAAGTGCTGTGAAGTTAAGAAGAGATGGGCCACTTTGTCTTATGACAGAACACAAGGAAGCTATCTGGAGTAGTTATATGCCAATTACTAAACCGGACACATCTATTTTGAATAGGCTTGTTGATGCTGGATTGTCTCCAAGGGTAGAAGAGTCAATGTCAGTTGTTAATAATGAGATACTTCGTCGCCATTTCTTGGAGCTTACTACAAATTTTTTAGCTCCATTTGGACCATATTTTAGAGTTAATACGCCTTCTGTGGGGTCATCTCCTTTTCTTGATCCACCTCCTTTAACTGCTTTTGATGGTGATGAATTTCTTGCAAGCTTATCCACTAGAGGTCCTGGGAAGTTTTTATCCAAGAGGATGAGGTCTAATTGGCTAGATCTCTACAGGTAATAGTTTTTTTCATTTTCATTTGATGTTTTTTATCCTGTAGCATAATTTCAAATATGTTGATGTGTTGGAACATTTTATATAAAAGTTTGATGTGTACTTTTGAAGGCGATTCATGAAAGGGCATAACTTTAAACCATGGTTTCAAAGAAAGCGAGCTGTAGCTGAACAAGAACAGCATAGATTATGGAGGCAAGCAAGAATGCATGCTGACATCCGAGAATTCATTTCCAGATCATCTGAATTGGAAATTGTTGAGAAATTCCATGCAATCGAAAGGCATCTTCTTTTTGAAATGCAGGCATGCATCCTATCATATCGTTGACTTGTTGACTTGAGGCTATTTTTTTTTTTTTTTTTTTTTTTGAAGGTATGAGTTTATATAACTGAAGTTAATTTTCCTGCAGCAATCTGAAAAGTTGGTTGATAATTCAGAGGCAACATGGCATAAACTTAAAGGAGATTTGCAGGTGGTTTTCAATGTCCTTCCTAAAGACATGCAGCATCTCCTCCTTATGAACCCAGAAAGAGCAACCCTTTTACAATGACACCTGTCTTTCACCATTGTTAGCTGTATGTCCCACAACCACAACATATGAGATTGAGATTTACAACTTCAAGACATGGTCTTTATTCTAGGTCAGTTGCTTGCTTATATATGGTGTTAAGTTGATTCAGAACTTACTGATTTTCATTCCTTCATGGAATTCAATGACATATATTATTATAACTATAATTGTTTCCATTTTGTTGTATAATCTTCATAACAAACAACATGTTTAAAATTTCAAGCAAACTGAACATGGTAATGGAATGTAATGATAAGCCCTAATAAATTTGGGCCTGGGGTGTTGGTGTTACAGATAACTTTGACCATTGTTTTAAGTTGATTCAGAACCTATTGGGCTGTTAATATTTTTTCTTTCTGATCTATATATATATGTATGATGTATCTCAGATAACTGAAGGCATAATCAACACAGTCAAATGGTGAATCATCTTTTTTTGGGTATTATAAGATAAGGTAACATGTATTATTATGTAATAGTTATTGCGATATGCATATCTACCGGGTTTGTGTTCTAGAATCAGATACTCATATATTCTTTAAACCATGTTCATTACTTTTTTTTTAGAATTTAGGATATTGGTTTTGTCATTTGTTAATACAGATGAAATGTTATTGTTATAATCTCAGGAATTTTTATTATTTGAGTTTCAATTTCCCCTCCAAATATTCTCATTCTTGGATTTTGTTTTTAATTCCCTTGAAAATGTTACTTTCTGTTCTGAGTGAGTACAACAAAAAGTTTAAATTATGTGAGAATAATTCTTTTTTTAATTTTGTATTTGGCTAAGGGCACGAAATAGCAATTCACTTTCATTTGTTTGTTTATCAAGGCATTGCACTTTGAAAATTCTACCAAATGATAGTATTGTATTATATATATAAAAAAAAATTCTTATTAGGATATTGTCATTTGAAAAATATATGTAATACTTTGTATTTGGCTATAACTAATGCAAGGAAACTTAAAGCTAACCTAATTACCCACATAAAGAATTTCAAAAAATGTTACATGGTTATTGCATATTATAGAGAACAAATTTCTCAATTGCAAGGGCCCGACACTTGATTTTTTTGTTCCTTTACATGGTTATTTTATTATTTCCTTTTAAATTTTAATAGTTGGATTTATACTCAACAAATAGATATTGTTACCCCTTTACCTAACCCAATAAGTACCTATCTCAATTCCGAAAAAGATATAATGTTTAGTTTAATACATAATTGAGTAAAAATAGTAAATTACTTATCAAAATATCTTAACGCAAACAACACTAAATAATTAATTAAATACTCAATATAAAAGTCTTTAAGGGGATGTGTGAGTAGTCATTAGGAACTAATTATCTTAGCCAACCCCTTATCTTATTATAGTATCTTGTCTTTAAAAGAAGTTTCGACTTTCAATGCATTGAGAAAAAGAAATTCATTACTCTCATGAAAAAAAATGTGACTTTCAAGGCATTGAGAAAAAACTTACCTTATTTCCCTCGTGTTTATGGATAGAATGCCAATGACGGCTCAGTTATCCTTTGTAAAAAGTAAAGAAATGATAGCCGAAACTGTTTTTTATGCACACACAATTAGTATTTTTTTTTTCTTATAATTTTTTAAAAATAGATGCGTAAAATAAATGAGTTTTTACAAACTTAAATGCATAAAAAAGAATAAGTAAAAAAAAAGTTAGAAAACAGCTTTATAAAAGCAAATTAAAAAAAACATTAAACTAACTGAAAAATATCAAAAAACACACAAAAAGTAGATAAGAGGACATAGTGAACTAGCATAAAAGAGTTCAATAATTATAAAAAAATTATTAAAAAAAAAAAAATTCATTTACTAAATTTGAAAGTAATCCATTGGCCAAATATAGAAATCATCAGAAACCAGAGTATCTTTTAATTAACTGTCATAATGCTACATTTTAAACATTTTATATATTATAAACTTACTGATATATATACAATAAAAAAGTGAATAAAAATAAACAAAAATATAATTGATTACCTCATAACTCATTATCCCTAAAAAATATCTATCCCAGATTTTTTTTTTAAATGTAGGAAGAAAAGACAAAAGGACGAAGAGAAACAAAACGACAAAAAAGGCATTAAAATTTCACAATGAGGTCGCTAACACTGAATAAAAAAAGAAAAAGTAAAAGGAAAAAAATAGAAAAGGAAAAGGGAAAACCTTAAAGTGGAAAGAGAGAGAGAGGGTCAAATACAACGTACTCGCCACAAAAATCCAAACCCCTCTTTAACTTCTCCCCTTAACCAATAGCATCACTTTGTTCCAATACTATTTTTATGTATAAACATTTTCACCCCTTCATTCATACTCTTTTGTCCCTTTACACCCCTTCTTCCCGTTTTGTACCCCAATATTTGTTCATTTCTCCCTTACACTATTCCAAAATGATTTTTTAACCCCTTCATTATTATATATAAGAAAACAAGTGCATCTTCATGTTCATGTTACGAGAAGTCTCCAATCCCAATATATTTGAATAAAACATCTTATCATCTACCACTCGGACAACATGTCATTTGGAATGTGGATTATTCATTGAATTTTTTTTATCAATATTCAACAACTGAACTATTATTTAACTTTGAGTCGTGAAAACTTTTATGAAATGTATTGTACAAGTTTTACAACGGGATTTGCAAAAATGTTTTTCCTGCGAGTCAACTTATGATGGTGCTTAGTAATTATAAACTTTTGAAAATTAGACCAGTTTTAAAAGGAGTTTGATTGAATTATTTATCGAATGCATTTGCTTTTTGGTGATAACGATATGTTGTTTTGTTTTGCATGCTTTAACAACAAAATGGTAACATGGGCCGGTGAAGTGATGTGTCAAAGAGTTCCGGACAATATAGCTCGATCATGTTGGGCTGACTCGCCAACACTTTTTTATTTTTTCATATTTGATAAATAGTTTATGTATTATTTTTCATTATCATTAAAATAATGTACAATTTCTCAAGACAAATAAATAAAATTTTGGAATCTTAAAACTCATTTAATCAGTTGTATGTTGGATCATTTCACTTTTAAGTGAGTTTTGTAGTTTTGATTTTTACTATGTAGAAGATAGATCGTATTTGGCAAAACTAGCTGATAGTTAGAAATTTAAGTTTTTATTTGTTATATGAGTATTCGGAAAAAATAACAGAGAACTTTTGAAATATATACTTATATAAAAAATCAATTGTTTAAAAAAGCTAAATCTATAAATATATTTTGGAAGGTAATTCTAAAAATTGATTAAAAAAACTTAATTTTTTTTCTTAAACGCTACATAAAAACTTTTAGATTTGAAATTTTTTTATTTAAACTAAAACTAAACGCTCGTAATTTCAAACAAAAAAATTTAATTTAATTTTTTTATTAAAAGCTAAAAGCTAAAACTGTTAAAACGTTGAATATAAATAAGTTGTAAAATTTTACACAGTGGAAAATCTGAATTTTGAATTTTGAAAATTTAGTAAATCAATATCTTTTTAATATTAGTTAAGCCAAAACACGAGTAAGTTGACACAATATATTCTTTTTTCTGATGAATGAATAAGCAAAATAAAAAATAAAAATAGTAAGTTGTTTTGAAACCCCTTTACTATAGGCGCATATAGTAGAGTTGAAAACTTCTTTTTGTCAAAATGCAAGGACTAAAGAATACAATGTTAAGTAGTATAGGGGTCAAACAGATATTATAACTATTTTAATATCACATGAAAATGGTGAAGTGAGAAAAGGGAGATGTGGATGAGAAAGAACCAAAAGCCAATTAAGGCACACAGACACAGAAACCCCCAATTGGTGATGTGATTATTCTCTCTCGGAAATCTCAACGCATCAACCGACTTTCGAGAGTTTTATTACTAGTAGTGATCAATTTCTGGTGACGGATCGTTCGACGGCCGTTTTTTTGTCGTTGTTATTGATATTTACCTTACCGATGGTAATCACCGGACACGACGACGGTACAGGTTCATCGGAGTACGATTACATTAGGAGACACCATAAGCATGAGGTTAGAGACAATCAGTGCACTTCGTCTCTCGTTAAACACATCAAAGCGCCTGTTCACCTTGTAAGATCTCAAATCTATTAATATAATATAACGACTTTTTTCTCCTTTGAGTACTTTAATTAAGTTTGTTAGTGTTTCGTGGATCTGAGCTAAAGGTTTCAGTACTTTTAAGTAATCTGAATGCATGCGTGAAAAATGGAGTATTCCAATTGGAAACTGTATTTTCTGTTCGTGATTTAATTGCTGATACAATTCGTTTACTCGTTAATTTAGTTGTCTATGGATGCAATCAAAGTGTGTGTTGTAACTTGTAAGATATGCTTCATGACTGGACATGCTTTCCTTGTCTCGGTCGTATTCGGGCAGCATGTATACGCCTGTCGCATTGATTGAGGATTTTTTTTTTCTTTTTTGCATTTATTAATTAGATAATGAAATTTCTAGACTTGTGTCTGTGTGGTTGCTTGCTTCCTCAAAGATATAATAAATTCCTTATAATGCTAAAAGCAAGGCTTACTATATGTGTTTGGTAGGAAATATTGCTTTGTGTGTATGACAACCAATCAGATTGCTTCCATTTCAACACTTGCTTGGATTATCATATTTACTCCTCTAACTGCTGATTTTGAAGCAAATATATATTCACCATGAAAATGCATTAGACACTTGTATTGTACAATCGCTGGATGATGCATTTTCATAGTTCTTGTCCTTTTCTGTCTACAAAAAAGAAAAAGAAACAAAAAACTACATAAATCATCAATGGCCGGAATATGCCAAAATCATTTTGGAATCCAAAGGCAGCAGCATACATAACACAGGACAAAAAATTTCTGGAGGTGCATCAGTGACAATGAAGTCACTCATATCTGGTCCCCCTCCTTGTCTCTAAAAGACAGAGAGAGACATATCAAAAATTGGCATTCAATTTTATGTATCTAAGTATCACTGCAATAATAAAGAAGCTTACTAGGTATAGTAATAGTAAATATCTAGCATTCTACTCTTCCACTTCCCAAATCTCAACATACATACACATCTTAATGAATACACAAGAGTTTATTATAATAATATATCATTCCATCCATTGCTCCTCCTAGCTAGCTAGATTAACCAAAACAACTAATCTAATCAGAGTGACCAACATAACATGTATGTATATATGTTTTTGAAAGGTATGGTCTTTGGTTCGGAGGTTTGACCAACCACAAAAGTACAAACCGTTTGTTAGTGGATGCAATGTGCAAGGTGAGCTTGAAATTGGAAGTGTGAGAGAAGTGAATGTCCGATCTGGACTTCCTGCAACCACAAGTATGGAAAGGTTGGAGCTTCTGAATGAAGAAGAGCATATCTTGGGGATGAGAATAGTTGGTGGTGATCATAGGCTTCGGGTAATATAAAGCTTTCTTTTATATATATATTAATATAATTTGGTTTGATGTATCATTAGAATTTAAAAACAAAACAAAAAAAATTGTACAGAACTACTCGTCAATCATTACACTTCATCCGGAGATTATAGAGGGGAGGCCAGGGACATTGGTGATTGAGTCATTTGTGGTTGACGTGCCAGATGGCAACACCAAGGATGAGACATGTTACTTTGTGGAGGCTTTGATCAAATGCAACCTTAAGTCATTGGCTGATGTGTCAGAACGATTGGCTGTGCAAGACCGAACAGAGTCCATAGTTGGAGCATGATGAATGAATGAATGAGAGATGGGAGCCGAGGTTAGTTGTTGCCATCTTCATCTTCATCTTCATCTTCATCTTCATCTTCTTTGTGCATATAGCATTAGACTTTGTTCCTAAGTGGATTTAAAAAAAAAAAAAAAAAAAAAACTATGGCTGATTGTGTTTCGTAAAAATCTTATTCCTCTTTGTGAACTATATGTTTGAACCTCATTCTCTAAATCTCTTTAGTCTTTTGTCCTCCTCCATCGCCCTATTGTGAATATGAATAAGTAGAATAGGAAATTTTGCAAATCCCCTTTTTGTAAAGAATGTTGAAATGTAGTGGTATTATCATATGTCATATTAATAATGACTATATGGTCTATGGAGTTGGATATTGGTTTGCTTAGTTGCTTATCTATACGAGTTGTTTTCCAGACGTGAAAACCGTGTTGGACGTTATGTGACATGTCACCAAAGTTTCTTGGAACTCACTAAGTAGGTTAGGTAGTTGGATTGAGTAATTGACAGAATAACTTCTATAAATACTTTGCTCCTTGTCTTGTGGTTGACTGTTTTCATTCAATGCAAATAATAAACTTTTACTTTTGTTTTCCAAAAAATGCTTTATAACGATTTACTCACAAAAAGTGGTGTAAAAGTGTATAAAAATCCCTAGGATTTATCCTCATTTAAAAAAAAAATATATTGTTAGTGTTGAAACCTCAAACTTTGTTAATGATAAAAAAATGACATTTAGTGAAGCTAATTAAAATATATAAAATAGCATAAAAAATATGTAGAAGATTGAGTTTTTATATAATAATAAAGAGTATATTTGAGAGAATTTAAAAAAAGCTCAATAAACTTGTTGAAACATTAGTTTGAGTAGTTTTTTATAACCTAATTTATAAACTATTTTTGGTTTGCCAATATGTCAATTTAAAAAAACTCGAAAAAGCCAAACTTGCTAAATATAATCTTCTTACTTTTTTTGGCAGTTAAATACTTACAACCCGTTCCCTATTTATTTATTTATTTTTTCCTCTGAAGTAGTTATAACAGAACCAACACATTGCAAGGGTCTACTGTCTACACCAAGGCACACAACAAGTACACAAGAATTTACATTCAAAGAAAAGGGAAACAACACCCAATTTGCCCAATTGCATCCCCTTTTTTTAAACTACATAAATACTAAGGAAATTACATTATCTACAACCATTGTTGGGGAAGAAAAAACTCTATTGAACACTCGTCCTTTCTTGCCATCCATACATAGACACCACAATAAGCCATGGCAAACGGCTAACAATAGTTTCCTTTTTTTTTTTTTTTTTTTTTTTTCCCCGGATAATGCCCCCCTATTCCTCTACAAAATGGAGGACTTCTCCAACATATGCGAAGGTTTGACGAGAAATACTACACCATGTAGAAAGATCATAAATGATTCTTCACTTTATCTCATGAAATACTAAATATCACTCCACTCAAACTTATAAAAATATAACAATTCCTAACAAGCTCATTCGAAATATCAATCACAGTGTCACATGTAACCAAAAGTAATATCAACACCTCACAATCATTGCTCATAAAGAATATTCATGATGTCCCACATATACACCCCGGGTAGCATAATTATATTCCTCCTGTATATTCAATAAAAGTTATGATAATGATACTCACACATCTACTCACAAAGACTTTTAATAATATCTCATGTAGATGCTTACAAAGAGCATTATGCCAATCTTTCTCTTCCTCGTCTACAGTTTATTTGAAGTAGAAAGACAACACACGTAAACTTGTAACACTTATCATAGAGGATCTCATTAAATTTCTAAAAAGAAGGTTTTACCTTATTGTTTGTTTGCTTGACTAGATTGTTGCTTATCTTATTAAATTGCTTGCCTTGTCATAGAGGATCTCATTAAATTTCAAAAAAAAAAAGGTTCTACCTTATTGTTTGTTTGCTTGACTAGATTGGTGGTTACCTTATTAAATTGGAAGAGTGATATGATGGTTTATCATGGTCAAATACGGGTCATATCAAGGTTCTTAAACGATTTTTTTGTATGCCTATAAAATTCCCGCTACTAAAGTGAATATGGATGGAAACAATACAAAAGATTTTTTTAATAAGTTATGCTAAGGTTTGAGAGTGTGGCTTGGCAAACACCACACTAGGTGCACAATATGCCAAGTTTTGGCCCCCATCTCGGCAAGAAGTTGTCGAGTCTCTCTCCCCCTCTTCAATGCATTTGACCATTTTCATCGTTATAAATACTAGTAAACTTAACATCCATTTTTACTACATCAAACACATATCTTTTCAATCTCTACACAACCAAAAAACATGTCTTATTCAAACTCTAGAAATAGCGAAAAAACATCAACTTGAAACTACCTAAACATTCCATCATTCTACCATCCACAAATGAACCGACCTATTATTTAGCATCCATATTCCATTATCTTGCTATGGAAATGTATTATAGTCTATATCCAATGCAAATCGGCTACACTAAACCACTCACAACCATATTCGGCCTCTTCAAATGTGTTCTAGAAACTCAACTCCAACCCCAAACCCCACCCAAACCGAACTCAAATCCTAAAGCAAACCCAGACCCAAGGCCTAACAAAAAATGGGAAGGCCCCCAGTATACCTTGAATCCCGATAGAAAAGAAGGCATTGGTCGTTACATGGGTCGATATATCAAAGGATCCGATGGTCGGAAATAACCAAAAGGGGCCAACTTTTAGAGGCATGTTCTTAAATGTTTCCTTAAAGAATGAGTTCACGACTACCGTACGAAAGAATCAATCTACACCAAAAGGGGTAACACGAATAAATAGGTATTGATATTTGGTGGTTTACTTAACAACTTGGAAAGCCAATGGAAAAGTGGTGAAATATATGTTATCATTTTCAACAAGGCCTAGAAATGTTCCGAAAAGAACACAAGAGACCTTTTAAACATATTGAGTTATTGAATGTTATAAAATATCACCAAAATGATGACATATGAACATCTGAATCACATTTGCACCTATAGGTGGTTCGAAACTGTCAAAAACATCTGACTCTATTACACTACTTTAGATGCTCGTATCGGGATCGACCTTAACGACGATGACACATTTGTGGTTCCACTACCTTTCTGCCCAAAGGGAAGGGTCAAAGCAAAATGCAAAGGCAAAAGTTCAAATTTGGATTACCTACAATAGATAGGATTGGAGATCCCGAGCCTTAATATAGATTTGACCAAATATTTTGAGTTTGCTCAAGAAAACGAGTGTAAGAAATAAAATGCTCGTGATATGAAGTATTTAATGCATGATTTGAGTAACTATATCGGTGAAAAGTGTGAATTGAATTTGACAGTAAAAGCTAAAATTAGGAAAAAAATATAAAAAAATAATTTATTTATTTATTTATTTATAGTTATTATTATGTTTTAGAGTTTTTAATTTAATATTTATGTAGTTTTATTTTAAACTGATGAAATATTTATTTATTATTTTAAATAGATTGTTTAAATAAATAAAAAATTAATGTAGCCTACTATTCATTGTGTTACAAAGTATTAGAAGAAAGAAAATATTCGAACGAAGTGAAGTAAAGGTGATGTGACGTAGAAAATATTCGAACGAAGTGAAGTAAAGGTGATGTAACGTATTTTTAGAGCAGATTAGTTAAAACTCTAGTAGGAAGCTAGAAAACGAAAATGTTCAGATATATGGAGAAAGTCCCAAGAAACTCAAGACAAATTACTTTTCCTACTTCTTTTCGAAATCCAAAAATAAGAAAAATAATGAATATCATCAAACAACTCATCTTTTCTACGCTTTATCTTTCCGAAAAAGATCTTGTTGCGAAAACTCCAAATACACCAAAAAGTAACAACAATGACTGCTTCAAACTTCAACTTGGACTTCTAATCAATCTTTAACACATCAACCCAAGACAAAATCGAAGCCACAATTAGAGTTAGATATATCAGGGTAATTACATTCCATCAAGTTGCAATCATACTCCAAATCGGCTTTTAAAACGCTACACGGAGAGAAAATATGTTAAGTAGACTCCCCAACATACGAACATAAAGGGCAAAACAATTAATCTAAATCAATCCCTTTATCTTTAAGATTTAATCTTGTTGGAATTTTATCCCGCTCAATTCTCCGAATAAGGATATTTACTTTTATTGGGATCAAATGATTCCATATGGTAGCAATACGAGAGCCGATCAACAAGAGTCAAAGAATTTCCTAGTAGAAGAGACTGAAAAATCACTATGAAGCTCTAAATCAACAAGCAAGAGTCAAGGAATTTCCAAGCAGAAGAGCACAACTTACTCCATTGAGATTTCGGAACTCCCACTCTAGATAATCTACCAAACGCAACTAAAAGCTTCTTTGGCAAATTCCTATCAGCAATACACGATGTTGGTGAATGATCATGCACAAAGACACGATGATAAAGATCTTTTAGCAAGCCTAAACGTGTCCAAGAATCAAGCCAAAAACAAATAGCTAGCCCATTACCCACTTTTTTAACACAATAATCATCGAAATTAAAACCTTTCATTTTCAAATAATGAAAAGTGATGTGATATTGATGTGACAAATTAAAAGAACGACAACCATGACATTATTCTTTTTGGCTTAAAGATCCAAACCACAAAAGACTTATTTTTATCAAAATTACGGGGACATGGAGAGTTGATGAATGCGATACCTGGCATGGCCTTGACGCTATACCCGGTTTTCGCCTTACGGGGATCATCGGCCTAGGACCCGATTTGACGAGGGATACTCATCCTCAAACGGGTGGATCGACCTTGGGACAAATTTCCATCCCTATATGAGATCGTCTTTCTAGTGGAAACATATATATATATATATATATATATATATATATATATATATATATATATATATATATATATATATATATTAAATTCAATACCAAGTATAGAAAGGCATACCATACATGTATTATTAGATTGATAACCGTTGATGATCTATCACTTATTATCATAATTTTGATTAAAGTTGAATATGAATAATATTATTAACTTACCATGACAGTATCGGGTGTATAAAGTATATACAATGTTTATTATGTTTTTCTTTGATCAGACATATATCAACAAAAATACAAACTAAATAAATAATTAAAAAACATCACACGTTTATTATTTTGCATAGAAAATGAGTCTCATCTTTTGCAATCGACATCTATCCGTTACTTTATCAATGGAATTAGAAACAAATGGTGCATAGCGTACTGAAAGAAGAAGAAGACGACAGATGCGTGTAAAGGAAGTCTGAAACCAACTTCCTGTCCTCTCATTGCACAACCACCAAAATTCACCGTCGTCTCAGGTCTGCAAAACCTCTTCAGTCTCCATCTCTTTGCTTCCTTTAAGAAAATTCATGTCCTATTTTAAAATTTTCATCCTCATTGCAAATTTTCCGGACAATTCTCCTTGTAAACCAAATACTCCATCATTTTATTCATACGTATGGTTTGATTTCACCTAATTTACCGATTTACATCCATCAATTTTGCGCGAGGAGATAGGATTTGAAGTCTCATATATAGTATTCTGATTTTATTACAGGTGAGAAAATGAGGATAGGATGTGTTTGGGAAACATTGGCATGCCTCACCTCTGCAATAATGGTCCTGAATAGCTGCACGACGGCCGCCGGCGAAGTGACGACGTGTTCTGGAATTGTACCGATGGTGTACAGGAACGATAAAATATCGATAACGGATTTTGGTGGAATTGGAGATGGTAGAACGTTGAACACCAAAGCATTCAATGAAGCGATTTACAGGATTAAGCATTTGAGGAGGAGAGGAGGGACGCTGTTATACATACCTCCAGGAGTTTATCTCACACAGAGCTTCAACCTAACCAGTCGCATGACTTTGTATTTGGCTAAAGGTGCTGTTATCAAAGCCACACAGGTATATATGAATATGATGTTTCCTCAAATCAAATCACTGTTCTATCTATCCTCATTACAGTTTTTTTGCTGTTCAAATTGATTTATGAATGGTTACACTAGTCAACCAAATTCCATTCCGATTTGAACCAAACCAAGTTACAATTTGATTATCAAAACATTTTGAGTATTAACAGTTTGAGTTTTGAAGTTTAAATCCATGGATTATTTAATATTTTGTGGCTTGGTAAACTCGAATAATAAAAATAAAATAAATCATTTAAATGTAAACTAAAATTCATAAAAATCTACTAAGAAAAAAAATTATAAATTAGAGAAAATTTTACATATATATAGACCAAAATAATTATATCTGAATAGTAAAAAATAATAGTATGACCCTACTTGTACTTGTATGTGACTGAAAAGAAAGCAGAGAAGGGATAAGGTAAAGAGAAGGCAATTGCTATTTTTTGTACTTGTATCTGAGTAGTAAAAAATATATAGATCAAACATTTTGATTCTTTATACCATTTTGCAATAACAAAACTAACAAAAAATTGCATACATTTCAAAATATTAGACTGTTTTTCCACGTGCAGCCCAAATCATCTACGAAATCTTTCATTTATGATTTTGGGTAATGCGAATCTAGGCTATTCATTAATCTTGCTATTTAAAAAAAAAAATGATTGATAATAAGTTTGTATTTATTGTTATGGTATTATTTATGTTTCAGAACACTGCAAACTGGCCTTTAATCGCCCCTTTGGCATCTTATGGAAGAGGGCGAGAGCGTCCTGGAGGAAGATATATAAGCTTTATTCATGGCGACGGCCTCCATGACGTAATCATCACAGGTAAATATTCCATTTACATCTTTTTATTTTTTATTTTTAAACATGCAAAACTGTTTTATTAGGTGAAAATGGCACAATCGATGGGCAAGGTGGGGTGTGGTGGAACATGTGGAGACGAAGAACCTTGCAATTCACTAGACCAAATCTCATCGAGTTCAAAGACTCTCGAGGCATCATCATCTCTAATGTCATCTTCAAAAACTCACCCTTTTGGAATATTCATCCTGTTTACTGCAGGTAATTTTCCCCCACCCCATTTCTTATATATATTTTTATCAACATATGTATAATTTTGAACTTAATATTTCATATATGCAAACCAAACAGCAATGTTGTTATTCGGCATGTGACCATATTAGCTCCACCCGACTCTCCAAACACGGATGGAATTGATCCAGATTCAAGCTCCCATGTCTGCATTGAGGATTCCTACATCTCAACAGGAGATGATCTGGTGGCTGTAAAAAGCGGGTGGGATCAGTACGGAATTAAATACGCTCGGCCCAGCAACGATATCACGATCCGCCGACTCACCGGATCCTCTCCCTTCGCTGGAATTGCAATTGGAAGCGAAACATCTGGTGGGGTGTATAATGTGTTGGCAGAGCA